GCTCAACCAAAAGAAATCCCTTCTATCTAACCACCTGAGACTTTGAACTATCTAGATAGCAACACCCACTTCCTAAAATATATTCCTACTCTGACTAGAGCAAAACTAAAAACTTGATTACTAAGCTAAAATAAAATGAGCTCACACAATCAGACATATTTTCTATGTAACAAAATGCCTATCAAAGAATGCTTGAATCCAAGATACATAAAATACTGACATCAAAATCACAAAAGAACCAATGACAAACCTGATAATTTGTTCTTGTTTTTCAATGATGCAGCTAACCTTTAACTATGAATAACTTGGAACCAGAAAGCTGACCTACTGGGGTGGAAAGAACTCCAATCTAGAAATCAAGAACATGGATTCTGTCCAGCTGATGCTACTAGGTAGGTAGGTGGCCCCAAGCAAGTCTCTCCTTACCTTCTGTCCCTCTCAGGGTTTACGTTTCTTGTTCAAGAGGTTGAAAGGACCCGCAGTTCCCACTCTCAGCTAGCCATAAGAACAACCTCAGAGTAACTTAACCAATTCCACGTCCTCTTCCAGTTCAGGAGTCTCTGAGTGAAGCTGAGGACCTTACTCTTAATAAGTAACCCAAGAAAATCTTATCATCTGGTTAAAAAAAAAAAACATTGGCAAACACTGAACTGGAAGATCCTCAAGCAGCCTGTCTTCCAGCTCTGATTCTTTACTATTTGGATATTTCAAAACAATCTTCTAAAACCAAAAATAAATTATACGAATTTAATGTATGTAACTGCATGCCAAAAAACAAACAAAAAATCATAAAAATAAGCAGATCCACTTCCCATGACACCACTCATACCTTTAAACATAAAAACATCCTCCTAGATTCTAGGTAAATGGGACAGTTAATTTGGTAAGGGGAAATTTTTTTTCATATTACACTCTCAGCATATAGAGACATTTTGGGAGTTACAGAGAGAATTGTATGACTGATGTTGTAAGTAGAAACTGTACATTGCATTCTTGCTTTGAAGAACATTATCTGGTGATCCCACCTGTTCCTAGCTAAGAAATAGCCAGAAAGAGCCTGGCTAAGTCCCTAGCAGCTGTAAACAGCATGCCCTGCAATACTGGAATGCAATTGTTACAAAGTTAAAAGAAAAACATTGAAACAATAACTGGTTACTAATTCTTCAAAGTCACCTCAGTGTAGACAACTGAGTGGTTCAAGAGTCTACAGTCCTTTGTTAGAAAAAATCGTATCAGGTAAACAGCCTCCAGAGCACTTTCTACACGCAAAAAAAAAGCAGTTTTTAATTGAGTTTTTCTTTCCCCTGAACTATTTTGCTTTACACAGTTTTTGTAAAATCTCATAATCCTCCAGTGGGATTTACTGAGTTTATTTTCTTATTTAGATTTGTAAGTAACTACAAAACTAACAAAAGAAAAAGAGAAAGATTGATTGCAAGGAGCTTAGTGAGGCGGAGTAATGAAGGATGCTCATTAGCAACCAATTATTACACTGTAGCTACAAAAAATGTCAATAAAATCAAGATTAAACCAGAAAACTGAGTTTGACAAATTACTGTGACCCTTGCAACAGAAACAGATAAGAAACCAAGAGAAACATTGTTACATAATTTAGCTATTGGAAAAACAGTTGTAGAGACGCCTACTAAAGTATCACACTGGTGCAGTACAATGTTACTGTAAATTTTTCAAAATGAATCTTGATGCTTGATTTGCAAATGTTATGAGTAGAATTCTTTGGATTTAAGGTCACACAGGCCAAAAAACTAATTTGCTTCAAGGACAAAAATGGGGACAACAACTGTTATGTGCAACATCACAGGAGCATTGGATTTAAAAGTCATATGTGTGTTCAAATACATTTATGTGTCTATTGCCCAACGGGGTTCTATGGAAATGTTGGCAAAAGACCAAACCTCACACTCAGTAAAATAAAAATGTAAAATCAGAATCAAGAAGACTAGTATAATAGAATGTTTAAGAAAGCCGGACATACGGTTTGGTGTCAGTGCTTGCCTAACATGTGTGAGGTCCTGAGTTCAAACCCCAGCAGGGCAAAGAGATCAAGTTCTGGTGTCACATAGACATAAGTTAAAACCCCCAATCAACAAATTACTATATGACCTTTAACAAATCATTCAATCTAAATCTCAATTTCCTCATTTGTAAAATGGGGATAATGTATCATTTGGCCAGGTACATAATCATCATCATCTTCAAGATCAAACGATAAAATTAGCATAATTACTATCTTACTATCAAGTAAAGCTAAGAGTTTCCTAGAAGCCAGGTTTAAAAAAAAAAAAAAAAAAAGTTTTAGTTATTAGAAAGACTCACATATACTTACGTAAAGGTAGTTTTTCTTTTCATTTTACAGAACCTTCTATTTTCCCCTCCTTAGCAAAGAATAACTCAATTCTAAACAACTTTGTAAAAGAAAGGCTTCTTAATTAGGATGGCAGTTTTCAATGAGATCTGGATTGGTGATCTACCCAATTCAGGGTCATGCTTTGGTATTCTCGAGGTGTTTATTTTGTTGTGTTTTTTAGAGATGTTAGGAGAAAAGGGAAAAAGGGAAAGTCTTTAAAAACCTTCACACACACTGTTAACACATACATAGAAGGTTGACAGTTAAAATTACGTCATGCTTGAGATTGGACAATGAAGAACAAAGTCAGATGAAATGTTTTAACTCACATTAAAAAGAACTCATGTAACTGATAGTAAGGTTAAAGTGATCAAATTCATCAAAAAAAAAAAAAAATCCAAGAAAGAGAAAGTAAGAAATAAATTATTCCTATAGTTTAGATAACACTCATTCCATCCTTTTAAGATCATGGCTTAAATTTGTAATGAATTGTCTTTGTCTGCTCTTCCAAATATACTGCTGGCTTGAATGTAGCTTTAACTTGCATTATCTTCTTAGCCACACACTGTATATCATTTTGAATATGACCAAAAATAAAATCCTATGGATTATCATTTTTCTAGAATTCATGGAAAAATATTAGTAACCCAATCATATAAAAAGATGTTTCAAAACATACTATGGGAAGTGATTTTGGAGGAAAAAAATCCTTCATAAAAATAAATTGGTCAGGAAATATGTTCAAAGACAACCAAAAATAAATTTCAAAATCATGCGAATTTTAAAATTTTGAGTAAGATTCATAAGCTTTGAGGTCAATAACTAAATTCTCCAAGAAGTTAAGAAAAATCTCCAGCAGGAGTACAAACTAGTATTATCAATCCATAATTTGATGTGCAAAATTTCTGAATAAAAAAAGTTATCAGTGTCAATATTGGGAAATTTAATCATTGAATTTCAGAGGCATTTTCAGTATTTCAAGACATCTTTCTTGTTACAGATTATACTGCAGAATAAAGGAAGACACTGGTTAGATGCTCTAATTAACAACTTAGCAGAGAAAGAACAATGACACTCTTAAAAGAAGCTCTGTCACTAGAGATATTGGACATTTTCTTTTTACTACTTAAGCATCCAGAAGAATCTCAGTCTGCTTTTAAATGCAAATTACCAAGCTCTGAAGCACATTCTGCTCTATTTTTTTTTTTAATATGAAAATTACCGCACTGTGGTCCTGTTTTAGAGAAGACACCATTCCTCCAAGAAAAGAAACTCTGTATGTTCACACACTCTCTACAAATAACATTCAGAGAATGTGCTGCAGATACACATCTAGTGAGCTGTCACCAGGTACACAAGGCCTTTTTCAGGGGAGAGACCATTATTAGTAATCAAAATTCTATTTGAAAAAGGAAAGCTTAGATTTGAGGACCTATCAGGTCATGAAAGGTTACAGGTACTTCAAAACATTCACATGAACTAGCATTACAGCAATTACAAAACTCAGCATCCCTTGATTTTCAAGTAACATTATTTACTGGAATTTCAATAATGATAGTATGAGTTGCTATTTGCCTATTCACAACATGATAAAACAATATTGCAATTCAAGAAATGATGTACTATATATACACAATGAGACTACACCTTTCTCTTCCCTGTTAAACACCCTGAAACAGGGAGAGTTGGTCATATACTTCAGTTTAATGTATTAGTGGTTGAAGTTAAAAAAAAAAAAAAAAAAAACACTTTTTAAACTGGACAGAGGCAAGAAATCAACCATAATTAATAAAGGAATTCATCCACTGTCAAAGGTTCAAGCTTTCTGCCAAAACCACACCTGCTTTAGGAAATTTCATTTGTTGTCAGGTAAATGAAAACAGCTAAAGCGATACACCTCATAAAAGGTTAACTTACCTCCAGTCTTTCCAAATTATATATTAATAACTTTGGCTTTTTTCAAAACCATCTTTTCTAAAGCTAAGGCAAGTCACACCCAAAGTGAGTGTATTTTTTGATGCTAGTTGGTTTACCCCATCCTCCACCTTCCAAGCAGACTTCAATTTTCCCCCACAGGTAGCCAAAGACCAGGACCAGAAACTATAAAATGTTCACTTCCAATCTTTGAAACATCAATGTGGATGTTTAAGGAGAAAAAGGATAGCACTGGGTTTAGAAAAGCGTTCCAAATGCTTGCCATCTGTAGTGTCAACCAAAGGGCATGGCATCACCCCCTACTTTCACCTACCCACTCAGAATCCAGGCAAAGAATGCAGCAGCCCCTTAAAGACAAGAGACTGGGGCGGCAGGGACCGGAGTGGGGGGGGGGGGGGGGGGGAGCGAGGGGGGCGGCAGGAGAAGGGGTATCATGCACAGAAATTAGAAACCTACATTTTGATAATGGGAGAAACAGTAAGTAATGCAGTCTTGTGCTTTTTAAAGAACCTACAAGCGCTTACTAGTTCAATCCGTCCCCAAATCCATGCCACCCTTTCAACTTTGCAATTAGGAGAGAGCAGGAGAAATTCCGGTCAACTCGCCTTGGGGGGTTGGTCTGAGGCTATAGGACTGAAGTAGGGAGGAGGATGGAGAAAGAAAGAGCAAGCCAATGAAAGATACCAAAATTTCCCACCTTTCTTAAATTCTTCCAGCATAGCGTCCAACTTGGTGTCATTGAAAACAAAGTGCAAGGGATGGTTATAAAATTTGGTGATGGTTTTCAATGGAGTACAGTCATCTGGATCCACGAAGGCCAAATCTTTGACAAAGAGCAGGTCCACGATATTGGAGCGCTCTCCTTCAAATACTGGAATTCGAGTGTAGCCGCTCTCCATGATTTCCGACATGGTGTTGAAGTCCAGGATGGCCTCTCCGGTGATCATGAAGCAGTCCCGAAGGGGAGTCATCACGTCCTCTACTGTCTTGGTGCGGAGCTCCAGTGCTCCTTGGATAATGTTCAGCTCCTCCTTGACCAGGTCGTTGTAGGGGTCAGTGACCCGGAGCATTTCCAGCAGTTTTTCCCGGTTATAGACGGTACCTATCTCCTGGCCGAGGACGCAGTCCAGCAACTTGCTGACCGGGTAAGAGGCGGGGAAGGTCATCATCATGAAAAACTTAGTGAGGAAGATGGTGTTGGCTCCTACTGCCAGGCCATGCCGGGAACAGATGGCTTGGGGCACGATCTCCCCGAAGATGACGATGCCGATGGTGGAGACCACCACAGCCACGAGGCCTGAGCCGGCGATGTCGTCGAGTAGGATGGTGAGCGTGGTGTTGACCAGCACGTTGCCCAGCAGCAGCGAGCACAGCAGGTAGTTGCCCTGCCTGCGCACAGGCTCGATGCGTTTGGCGTAATTCTTCTCCTTCTCCGTGCCGCAGTTCTGCACGATGCGCAGCTCCATCGGGTCCAGGGCCATGAGACCCAGATTGAGGCCACTGAACATGCCCGACAGGCACAGCAGCAGCGAAATGAAGATCACCTGCAGCCAAAAGGGCAGCAGGAACTTCTTCTCCTCGCCCACGATCATCTTGGTGTCCTCGCCGTCGTGGTAAATCCAGGTGGTCTCGGCCCACGGAGGTGGGGGGAGCCCAGCAACCCCTGCGCCACCCTTTCCCCCGACGGTGCCACCCGTGGACCCCGGGCCGCCGGCACCCAGGGCTGGCGTGGAAAGCGATGTGCACAGGTAATAGGACTTGCTCTTCTCCATCTTGCGCAGCGGTTTGATCTCGATCTCGATGATGCCCGATGTACGGCGGTTCAGAATGATGTGGGGCAAGATGATGATATCTGAGGTGCGGATGCCGCAGCGCTGGGGGCCGCTGTCCGGCTCTGGCGGCACGGGGCCCCCCAGCCCGCGCTCGCCAGGGCTGTGGCGGCGCCGCTCGTGCTCGGTGAAGGCGATGCGGGACCACGTCTCGTTGTTGATGTTCTGCCCGTACACCCGCAGCTTGACCCGGGTCCGCTCGCTCACCCGCAGCGCCCCCCCTTCCATGAACGACACGTCGTTCGTGTCCTCCAGCCGCAGCCCGATGATCACAGTCTCCTCGTTCTCGCCGGCCGCTGCGCAGCCGCCCGCGCCGCAGCAGCAGCTCAGCAATAGCAGCGACAACAGCCGGCCCGCCGCCGCCTGCAGGACCCCCCGGCCGCGGGCGCTGAGGCTGCGGCGCGCCGCCATCTTCCAAGTGGGCAGTGCGGCGACTGCCTGCCCGCCCGCCATCTTTACTTCGGGTTCACAAGCGCCACAGCCAATCATAGGGTGGCTGCTTTAGCTGCGGCTTCATTCTTCCCACCCGGCGGCGCGAGCGCAAGCACCGACCCCTGGGCAAGACTGCAATGGAGCGTCCGCACCCAGTGCTCAGCAGTCTCCCTCCCTGACTGACACTGACTCGGCCTCGACCAGCTAAGGAACCCCGAGGCTCGCGGGAGGAGGGGGGGGGGGAGAAAGGGGAGCGCCAGTCGCTCCCGCGAGAGGCAGGCCAACCAGCCAATCATAAGCGGGTGCCCGCCTTCCCAGCCAGGGGGCTGGAATGGGGGCGTGGTCGTGCACGGTGCCGCGGACCAATGGCAAGGTAAATGGGCGGGGTGATGAGAGCCACTGTCCTCCTCAGCACGCCAAGTTTCCAACTGAAAGGCGCGTGACTCTTGTGTATGTGCGAGGGGAGGAGGCGTGGCCAGCCGGTACCCAAGAACCAGTCAAAGATGAAAGCTGTAGGGAAGGGGGCGGGGCCTTCAGTCCGGCTGCCAATGGAAAGGAGCAGTCCGAGGGTGCGGCAATCCCTGAGGGGGCTCGGTAGTAGATCCCAGCTCCGATCTTGGCGCGGTTGGAATACTGTCCTGTGGAGCCAGGCCGCCGATTTTCGCTGTACCGCCCTTCGGGCCCCCACCAGTGCTCAAAACCGGTGCAGAAAGGTCTCCCGCCCTGGGAACACGAGAAGCCGAACAGAGACGACTTAGGCTGCACATAGCCTAAAAAGAAGTCAGGGCACTGGCCATACCCCTGCCTCACTACTCATTCACGCCACTCAGTGGGAATAAGCGGCGGCAGAGTGGTCCCAGCACTGATGCGGACCCGCTATCTCGGTGCCTCTAGTTTTCGCTGCTGGCCGGACGCCCTCGGCTTACGGGCACCTGGCGCCACCTGCCGGTCTCAGGGTGCCTTGCAACACTTCCCAGGCCCGCCGCATTCAAAGCCAAAAGGTGTTCAAGAGTTAAGGGTGGGGAAATTACAGGGGCAGTCAAACTTTCTAGTCAAAGGAGTCCCCATGTAGCCTGGAAAATTACTGTATAGAATCCCTGGACTCCATCCCATAACATACAAAATGTGAAGGGCCTAGAATCTGTACTTCTAAAAGGCACCCCCATAAGTTTGGAGAATAGGAGGGAGCGAACATAAAAGCAGAGTTTTAAGTTCATTCTTTTTGTTTCCATACTCCCCCCCCACCCCCCACCCCCGATACTGGGTTTTGAACCCAGGATCCTTGTGGTTTCTAAGCAAACACTCTAACACTGAGCTACATCCTCAGGCCCAAGAACTTATTCTTGTTTTTTTTTTTTTCAGTTGTCGATGGATTTTTTTTTTCTTTTTTTTTATAAGTGGTGCTGAGGATCATCGCTGTACCACTGAGTTACAACCCCAGCCCCCAAGAACTTACTCTTAATTACACGGACCAAACCCTGCTTAGTTCATAGGTTACTCAGGAAAAATAATCTGGAGACTTCCTCAGGACTCCCAGGTCATTGCACTTGGTGGTGGCAGAGTAGCACTTAACTGGTTTCTCACCCCCCCCCCCCCCCCAGTTTAAACATTGGAAAAATAATGGCTTCCCACCTTTTTTTTTTTTTTAATTCCATAATAAGCACATTGTCCTCTCTTTTTGTAAACACATCAAATGTTTCTGATTAACTTCTGGTACAGTTAATTTTTGTGATAAATGCAATGGCCTCCTAACCAGTTTCTCCTCTTTTACACCTGTCCCCTTTTTCAATACAATAACCAGTGATCCTGTTAAATCAGGTCTTGTCACTCCCTTATTTGAAACCCTCCCCTGACTCTCCATCTCACTACAGTAAAAGCCAAAGGACCTACAATGTCCTACAGGCTCCACAGGCTCAGCCCCTCACCCTACCTCTCTGACTTCTCAGGGCACTGCCCCAGCCAGGCTTTTCTCCTGGCCCCTCCTGTCACTCCAGGGATATCCCCTTGGGAGCCTTTGCACTTGCTGTTTGTTTCCTGTGCCTGGGACTCCAGTGTCACATAACACTCCTTCAAGTCTTTGTGCAAAGGCCACCTGATTTTAAACTTGTAAAAAACACTCCCAGTACTCCATCTGGGTTTTATTTTACTTCAAAGCAAAAATAACTTACTAATATTCTATGTAAATTGTTAATTTTGTTGATTATCTGTCTCCTCCCAGTAGAACTTAAGCTTTCTCTGAGGGTAAAAATTTTGTCTGTTTTGTTTACTGCTGTGTCTCTAGGGCCTAGAACAATGATAAGTATTCAGAATAATATGTGGAAAATATTAAAAAGTGAAATAATTTTATTCTGATTATTTCAAATAATGTTCTGACTCTAGTTTCCAGCCTGTTTTTTTCTGGTGCTGGGTCTTCTACCCTATCTGTGTGTGCATATGTGTGTGTGTGTCTGTGTGTGCATGTATGTGTGTATTTTTTCCTTTGGGGGTAGTATTGGGGATTGAACATAGGTGTGCTCTACCACTGAGCTACATCCCACTTTTTAAAAAAAATATTTTTTGTTGTAGATGGACACAATACCTTTCTTTAACTTATTTTTAGAAAGGTCTTGCCAAGTTACCAAGGTTGGCTTTGAACTTGCCATCCTCCTGCCTTAGCCTCCCAAGTAGCTATGATTACAGGTATGTACACTATGCTTGGCTTCATACTGCTATATTTGAGAAATCAATTCAGATAAAGAAAATTTGATTCATAGACTTGGCATGCACTTATAAGAAAGCCATTATTTTTCCAATGTTTAAATTGAGAAAGTTTATTAGAAAGAATTGGGATTTTTAGAGATAACTGACCAAGGCTAAGGATATACATGGACCTTCTAAACCAGTTGATTGAAAATGGAACCATTTTAACTTTGTAAAGTGTCTACAAATATATGTAAGGGCGCTGAGAGGGAAGGTGATTAGGGCTCTCATATGCTGAATGTACACTTTTGGAGTAGGAATATGGAGAAGTGGGGAAAGAAGAGCTTGCCAAATCTACAGACATTTCCTGAGCATTTCAGAGAAAATGACAACAGTCAGGAAAGTGTGGCATTCAGCAATTTAGAAGCAAGTTAGAAATGCAAGACCTCATAGCAAAAATGGCAGAAAGGAAGCTGCCTAAACAATTTACAATATAAAATAAACCAAATTCAAGTTCACAGGAGATCACTCAATGGTCTGTATCCCAAATGGTGGGTAATGGTTATATTCTTCATGTACACCTAAAACACACAGAGAAATCTACATACCTAAACCCAGTAATTTTTTCTTAGCAAGGAGGATCTTGATCTTCAAGTTCAAAGACTTTCTAGCTCAAAGAGCTGTCCTTTCTCTACAGAGGGGCTGTTAGCACAGGCTTTGATGATTTCTAGGGGCTTTCCAACCTACTAAATTATAGAAACAGAGAGCAAGGTCAATACATGCTTCTGGAGGTCTCTCCTGAAATGTGAAAATACAACAAAACCCTGTATTCTGACCACATTTCAACTACATAAACAGCTACAAAATTGAGGTTGTTAAATGGTTCCTGCTGAATCTAATCCTAGCATGGTTCTGACTTTGGTTGACCTTGAGCAAGTCATTTAGCTACAGCCAGAACCTCCTTGCATATACCTTCCCTAACCAAACCGCTCCTGCTGGAATCCTTCACTGGATTCTAATCCTAGCTTGGTTCTGACTTTGTCTGACCTTGAGCCAGTCATTTAGATACAGTCAGAACCTCCTTGCATATAGCTTCCCTAACCAAACCCCTCCTTCTGGAATCCTTCACTGGATGCCAACAGAAAAGGGTAACTGTTCAATTTTCTCATCTGCACAGAAGAAACATCCAGATCTGCAAATTCTGGTGTTAGATCTGTATCCAGACCTAAAAGTCTTTTGGAGTTTGATGCATTTGATTTTCTCAAACATTGCAAATAAAATGCTAAATGGCTCTCTATGCATTTTGTTTCTCAACATAAAACTCTAAATTTATAAAGAATCCCCTCCCGATGGCCTACTTGTAGAAAAGTATTCAAAGATTCAAAGTTATTGCTGATGACTTTTTTGTTTTGTTTTGGTTTTTGTACCAGTGATTGAACCTGAGGGCTCGCACATGCTAAGCACATGTCAGCTACACCCTCAGTCAACAATGGCATTTTAATCGCACCAGAACACAAAGTCTTCAGGAAAAAAAAAAAAAAAAAAAAAAACACAAAAAACCAGGAACTAGAAAAATGCTGGAGTTTCCCCAATTTGCCCTAGAATCATATCTATTGGCCCAGAGAGATTTCTCAGAACCAGACTATCTACTTGCTTAAATACATATAACTGTTATGTAAAATGAGAACTTTTTAAACATTTAGCAAGAACACCAAAGCAAAATAAAATCTGCAAGGCCATTTTCTATCTCATGAGGCCCTTCCAGGCCTTTTGTTTAGGGCTTTCCCATATACCTCTTTTTTCTAGATTTTTCTGTACATTGTTACTGGGGTAGGAAGAGAAAAAAAAATGTGGCTTTTTGATGGAGTTGTGAGGAAAGTTTTTCTCCTTTGAGAGGCATCCACATTCAGTGGGTACCACTCTTCCCTGGAATCCAGAGACTATTGGTTTCAGTTGCCTAGAAAAGCGGGTGTAGGGGCTGAGGCTGTGGCTCAGTGGCAGAGCACTTGCCTAGCATGTGTGAGGCACTGGGTTCAATCCTTAGCACCACATACAAAAATAAATAAAATAAAGGCATGCTGCCCATCTACAACTACAAAAAAGAAAAGTGGGTGTGAAGAAAGCCACCATATTCTTTGAAAAAATAAATAAAATCGACAGACCCTTAGCCATGCTAACGAAGAGAAGAGAGAGAACTCAAATTACTAGCATACGGGATGAAAAAGGCAATATCACAACAGACACTTCAGAAATACAGAAGATAATCAGAAATTATTTTGAATCCTTATACTCCAATAAAATAGAAGATAGTGAAGGCATCGATAAATTTCTTAAGTCATTATGATCTGCCCAGATTGAGTCAGGAGGATACAGACAACCTAAATAGACCAATATCAATTGAGGAAATAGAAGAAACCATCAAAAGACTACCAACTAAGAAAAGCCCAGGACCGGATGGGTATACAGCAGAGTTTTACAAAACCTTTAAAGAGGAACTAATACCAATACTTTTCAAGCTATTTCAGGAAATAGAAAAAGAGGGAGA